GGTATAGTATCGATGTGAGATTCTGCACCAAGTACTAGGTTGTCTGTAGTATCGTATCGATGTGAGATTCTGCATTAAGTACTAGGTATTCTGTAGTAGTATAGTACCAAAGTGGAAGTTCTATACCAAATGTTAGATATTCTGTAGCGTAATACCAACGTGGAAGTTCTGCACCAAGTGTTAGATATTCTGTAGCGTAATACCAACGTGGAAGTTCTGCACCAAGTGTTAGATATTCTGTGGTATAGTATTGATGTGAGATTCTGCATTAAGTACTAGGTATTCTGTAGTATTTAACCAACACGGAGATTCTGCACCAAGTGCTAGATATTCTGTAATATAGCCAAGATGTGAGGTTCTGCACCAAGGACTAGGTATTCTGTACTTGCCACTTAAGTGCGATTCATCCTTTTTAAAGAAAGTTTGAGATATTTAGAATTATCATTTTGCTATAAATTATTTTCTCCAAAACAATCATTATGGATTGCTTTTCATTATTCTCATGAAATTCTTAACTGTAATTACAGTCTTTCAAAAGTAATTCTTACCCCAATTACACTAATTTAGAAAGCAATTCTTACTCCCAATGATATTTATTTACAAATCTATTCCTACTCACAATTACAGTAATTTACAAAGCAATTCTTAATCCTAATTATAACACTCAGAAAGCAATTCTTACTTCCAGTAACAGTTATTTGGAAATCAATGCCTACTCCTAATTATAGTCATTCAGAAAGCAATTCTTACTCCCAAATACAGGCATTTACATAGCAATTCTTAATCCTAATTACTTTCACTTACAAAGCAATTCTTACTCCGAATTACAGTCATACAAAAAGCAATTCTTACTCCGAATTACAGTCATACAAAAAGCAATTCTTACTTCTAATTGCAGTCACTCAGAAAACAATTCTTACTACTAATGACGTTTAGTTACAAAGAAATTCTTACTCACAGTTGGAGTCACTTAGAAAGAATTGTAAATCCAAATTACAGTATTCAGAAAGCAAACCTCCCCAGTGGTACAGCGGTATGTCTGCGGATTTACAACGCTAGAATCCGGGTTTCGATACCCGTTGTGGGCAGAGCACAGATAGCCCACTGTGTAGCTTTGTGTTTAAGTACAAACAAACAATCGGAAAGCAATTCTTGCTCCCATTTGCCGTCATTTAAAAAATAATTCTTAATCCCAGTTACAGTCAAGATAAGGCAATTCTTACTCGCAATTACAGTCATTCAGAAACATTTTCTTACTCCCAATTACAATCTTTGAGAAACAGTGTCTTACTCCCAATTACACTCATTTTCAAAGCAATTCTTGCTCCCAATCACAGTAATTTACAAAGCAATTCTTACTCCCAAGTATAACATTCAGAAAGCAATTCTTAATCCCAATTACACTTATTACAAATACATTCTTACTCCTAGTTAGAGTCAATTAGAAAGCAATTCTTAATCCCAATTCGAGTCACTTAGAAAGCAATTCTTAATCCCAATTCGAGTCACTTAGAAAGCAATTCTTAATACCAATTACAGTAATTTATAAAGCAATTCTTACTCCCAGTGATATTTATTTACAAACCAATTCTTAATCCCAATTACTTTCACTCACAAATAAATTCCTACTCCATATTACAGTCATTCAGAAAGCAATTCTTACTCTCAATTACACTTATTTACAAAACAATTTTTACTTCCAGTTACTTTTACTTACAAAGCAATTCATACTGTCAATTGCCATCAATCACAAACCAATTCTTACTCCCACTTAAAGTCACTTAGAAAGCAATTCTTAATCCCAATTACAATCATTCAAAAAACAATTCTTACTCACAGTTATAGTCATTTACAAAGCAATTCTTAATCCCAATTACTTTCACTCACAAAGCAATTCTTAATCCCAATTACTTTCACTCACAAAGCAATTCTTAATTCGAATTACTTTCACTCACAAAGAAATTCCTACTCCATATTACAGTCATTCAGAAAGCAATTCTTACTCTCAATTACACTTATTTACAAAGCAATTTTTACTTCAAATTAAAGTCACTTAGAAATCAATTCTTAATCCCAGTTATATAATTCAGAAAGCAATTCTTACTCACAATTACAGTAATTTAAAAAGCAATTCCTACTCCTAATTACACTCATTTACAAAGCAATTCTTACTCCCAATTAAATTCATTTAGAAAGCAATTCTTAATTCCAGTTACTTTTACTTACAAAGCACTTCATACTGCCAATTGCCATCAATCACAAAGCAATTCCTACTCCCAATTTCAGTCATTTATAAAGAAAATCTTACTCCCAATTACACTCATCTACAAAGCAATACTTACTTTTAGTTGTAGCCATTCAGAAACCATTTGCAAAGGAATTCTTACTTCAATTACGGTCATTTAGAAAGCAATTCTTACTCTTAATTTCATTCATTTACAAAGCAATTTCTACTACCAATTACAGTTGTTCTGAAAGCAATTCTTACTCCCAATGACACTTATTTACAAAGGAATTCCTACTACTAATTACAGTCATTCAGAAAGCAATTCCTACTCCTAATTACAGCCATTTACAAAATAATTCTTACTCTCAATTACAGTCATTTACAAAGGAAGTCTTACTCCCAATTACAGTCATTTAGAAAGCAATTCTTATTCCCAATGACACTTATTTACAAAGAAATTTTACTCCCAATTACAGTCATTGAGAAAGCAATTCCTTATCCCAGTTACAGTCATTGAGAAAGCAATTCTTACTCCCAAATACACTAAGTTCCAAAGCAAATCTTACCCCCAGTTGCAGTCATTCAGAAAGCAATTCCTACTCCCAATTACAGTCATTTACAAAGGAATTCTTACTCCCATTTACTTTTACTTACAAAGCAATTTTACTCCCAATTACTGTCATTCAGAAAGAAATTCCTTATCCCAGTTACAGTCATTGAGAAAGCAATTCTTACTCCCAAATACACTTATTTACAAAGCAATTTTTACTCCCAATTACTGTCATTCAGAAAGCAATTTTTACTCCCAATTACTGTCATTCAGAAAGCAATTCCTACTCCCAATTACAGTCATTTACAAAGGAATTCTTACTTCCAATTACAGTCATTCAGAAAGCAATTTTTAATCCCATTTACTTTTACTTACAAAGCAATTCTTGCTCCCAAATAAACTCATTTATAAAGCAATTCTTATTCACAATGACACTTATTTACAAAGCAATTTTTACTCCCAATTACAATCATTCACAAAGCAATTTTTACTAACAATTACAGTTATTCATGGTTCTCCATGGTTGACCATACCTCAAAAAACCGATACAAACTATCTAAGGAGTGTTAGTTTATAATTCAAACATGAACTGGTTGTCCATGGTTGACCATACGTCAAAGAACTAGTTAGTTTATTGAGGTGGCATGAATCATTGTCATTCAAATAAGTTTGGGAATTTGTTCATGTTCATATATGAAATAGTAAATTTGTCTCTTGAATAAAGATTCATTCAAATAAAAGTTTACTGTTGATGATTAAAACATGAACTGTTTGTTCGTGGATGATCATACCTCAAGAAACTGATACAAACTATCTAGGGGGGGGTGTTAGTTTATAATTCATACATGAACTCATTGTTCATGGATGACCATACCTCAAGGAACCGATAAAAAAATACCTAGGGAGTAGTACTTGATGATTACCTCCCTCCAATTACAGTCACTCTGAAAGTAATTTATATCCCAGTTAATGACACTATAAGATGTAGCATCAATCTTATTAAACTTTGAAAGCATTTCTTAAAATACGACTTTTTTAGTACTTAGTGCTTGGTAGAATGTTGATTTGTAGTGATTAGTGTTTGATACAATATCAGTTTCTACTATTTAGCGATTTGTAGAATGTTAGATTGTAACTTGTAGTACTTGGTAGTGTGGAATTTTTTCAAACTCACTTTTGATGACTGTTTTACTTGTTAAGTGAATGACTATGAAAAATACTGGTTGTTTTAATATTACTACATAAATTCAAATTTATGAAACTATTATTGGACGGTTTATTATTTCCTTCATGATACAAGTGAGAAGTGGTGAAGTAACATGAAGAAAATATAGCACAAACTATATTAATATTTTATAAATAATCATGAATGTGCAATTTTCATCGTTTAACTTATGCTATTAATCGCTATGTGTTCATGATTCGTTTATTATCATTTTTAAACACTTGAATGACTTCGCAGAAGTTGTTGCTAAACTTGAAATCAAATTTTATTCTGTGATTACTCTGCAACCAGTATAAAGTTACCATTTTACATTCGGACCACTCAGGTAGGATGTGCTAATGTTACTTTATAATTATAGGTATTAACAAGACCTTCTGCAGCCAATAAAAACTTTCCATTTCACGTTCGGACCACTCAGGTAATATGAAGCTTTATTTTAAAGATCTAGAATCGTGATACTAAAAGTAAAATATTGCTAAATGTCTTTTGATATCAAAACAATCATATTATTGTGTCTGAAAACAACTTAATAAATGAAACGTAACTTTAAAGAATGTAGGGTTTATTACGAGTTCAAGACTTTAGAGACATTTTTTGTGTGTTATGGGTCGATTATACAAATTACGTTGTTAGATTTGAAGGAATAAATGTGACATAGAATTCTCTGAAAGTGAACTCTCTCAAACTTGTCAACATTCTTAACGATCATACAGGTCACTTTAACATCAATTTAATTCAGACTTTGCTTTAAACAGTAGGAAAGACCAACCCGGCAACTAACATGCAACTACTCTGTTTCTAGATAGACATTATGCAGCACAGTACTAATGGCTATGTCGGAGACAACAACATTGACCGATTCAGTCACCATCCCTATGCTTTGTCTATTCCTATAAGTCAGCGACCTGATTATAACTCTCTATTTGGTGTCCACGATCGAGCAACTGGCATGGAACTGGTAAAAACCCGCGAGATTATAATTTATAATTAAAACATGAACTCTTTGTTCATGGTTGACCAGATGTCAAGGAAAGGATACAAACTATCTAGAAGGTGTTAATGTTTAATTAAAACATGAAATGGTTATTCACGGTTAACAAGATATCAAGGAAATGATAGAAACTATCTAGAGGGTGTTAATTTTAATTAAAACATGAAATGGTTGCCCATGGTTAACCAGATGCCAAGATAATGATAGAAACTATCTAGAGGGTGTTAATTTTAATTAAAACATGAAATGGTTGCCCATGGTTAACCAGATGTCAAGATAATAATAGAAACTACGTAGGGGTGTTAATTTTAATTAAAACATGAAATGGTTGTCCATGGTTAACCAGATATCAAGGAAATTATAGAAACTATCTACAGGGTGTTAATTTTAATTAAAACATGAAATGGTTGTCCATGGTTAACCAGATGTCAAGGCAATGATATAAACTATGTAGGGATGTTAATTGATAATTCAAACATGAATTATTTAACCATGGTTGACCACATACGTCCAGGAATACATACAAACTATCTATTAATTGATGACTAAATCATGAACTGGTTGTCCATGGTTGACCATACCTCAAGAAACCAATACAAACTACCTAGGGAGTGTTAGTTTATAATTCAAAACTGAATTGATTGTCCATGGTTGACCATATGTCAAAGAACCAATACAAACCATCTAGGGAGCATTACTTGATAATTAAAACATGAATTGTTTGTTCGAGGTTGACCATACCTCAAGGAACTGATACAAACTATCTAGGGGATGTTAGTTTATAATTCAAAAATGAACTGGTTGTCCATGGTTAACCATACGTCACAGAACTAGTTAGTTTATTGAGCTGGCATGAATCATTGTCATTAAAATAAGTTTGGGAATTTGTTCATGTTCATATATGAAATAGTAAATTTGCCTTTTGAATAAAGATTCATTAAAATAAAAGTTTACAATTTATTAAATAGATATATAAATGATTGAAGTACCGAAACATTAGTCTTAAATGTTTACCCTGTTTATGACACTGAAACACTGTCTTTTTCAACAATAGGAGTAGAATTCTTTTGAACCTTTGGGAATAGCCTGCCAATCTTTGTTCATTTATAAAATACTGGAAGGAATATGAGATATTCACTGCAGAATGATGTAACATTTTGATGAGACATTGCTTGTGTCCTCAATTAAAAACGAAACTAACCCTCTACCAATTGGTATTTCAGACTTGTCGACCACAAACTCTAACCAGTGCTCCAACAGAGGAGGATACGAATAATAACAGTGGTTTTCATGTACGAAGAAGCCTGCCTAGTGGTCAACAATAGGTTCTTTTTGAATAAACCCGTCCCAGGTGATTAACAAACTCCAACCTTCTAATAGAACAAAGAGCTAGTTATAGTCCATGGGTGATTTACATGGACATGCATTTCACAATCAAGTTTTGAAAAATAAACATTCCAGTTGTAATAGAAATATTTTACTATGAAGATAAATCCTTCTGATGATCATCAAAGAACTATTTTCATCAGCTGAATTTAAGCTGTTGAGCACTCCAACAAATCAACCAACCTGTTCACTCAACAAATCGACCAACTTGTTCACTCAACAAATCAACCAATCTGTTTACTCATACAACATGTTTACTTATTACTATATATTCCAGTGAAACTCTGTAGAAACTTCAACAAATCAACCAACCTGTTTGCTTATTACTATACGTTCTATTCAAATTCCGCAGAAACCCAACAAATCAACCACCCTGTTTTCTTATCTCTGTAGGCTCCAAGTGAATCTTGAAAAAACATCATTTAATCGATCCATCTGTTTACTGACCATTGGAGATTCTAGTGAAACTCATTAAAACCTTCAACAAATCAATCTATTTAATGACCACTATACGTTCCAGTGAATCTCAGAAGAAACTTCAACAAATCGGACAGTCTGTTATACTGATCTCTATAGATTCCCGTGAAACCCAGTAAAAACTTCAACAGATCGATTCTAAGGGCGCAAATTCCGTGTGTTGATATCAAAAATAAGATTGTTGATCACGAATACACTGTCGTTGGGAGCTTCTATGCACTTATATATTTATGTATAAATATTGTAAGTACCACCAAAAAGACTCCCTTTTGTGATGATAGCCGTTTAGTAACATATAAAAATTTCTTCCTATACCCGTTAGGTGGCCAAAATTAATTCTTGTATTAGGAAAGATACCTGTTGGCGAATAACGCGATTTTTCTTCGACACTATACATTTTAAGCAGTTTTAAAACAAAGTGTTTTTCGGAACCATAGTCCAAGTCAAATGGTTAATAGAAGTGTTCAAAAACATTGTAAAAGCAAAATACCCCTACAATGATCCACAAACAAACTCCATCAGCGGAGGATCGATAATGCGATTAGCAAAGGTCACATGTAGGATTTGAAAAAGGACAAAAGATATTTTCCCTTTTACCTAAGGTTTTAGATTCGGTTGTCCAGATATTCGTGAGAGACCTAAACAAGAGCTTATTACGGAGACTAACCTTTTGTTCCTGAAGTTAATCTAATACGTGCTACAGTAACAAGTTCCATAAAAATGAAACTTATTTATCTAGAGACAATTCTAGGTAATTGAATATTGTGTTATGAATGTAAAAACCTCATCTTGCAACGAGTATTTCTTTGGTACAAAGATTTTATTCTTAATTTTATATTTTCCAATCTTTATTGCACCGTATTTCTTCCAGAGGTACGTAAGAATATGCTAGAAGAATAGCGTTACCATAAGGGATACGATTAGGCTTTGGAACGTTTTTAAATGCTGAAACTAAAGCTTGATATTCGGTGCAGTTTCTCCATAATGTTGTGGATTTCTGGACATACCTCAGTCGAAGCTAGTTTTTACATAATGTGTTATATTTCTGGGTGTACCTCAATCGAAACTATTTTTTTCCATAATGTTTTGTGTTTCTGGACATACCTCAATCAAAGCTATTTTTTGTATAATGTATATTTTTGGCTGTACCTCAATCGAAGGTAATTATTCCATAAAGTTTTTTGTTTCTGGACATATCTCAATCAAAGCTAGTTTTTCCACAATTTTGTGTATCTCTGAGCATAGCTCAATCGAAACTAGTATTATTTTTTCTGGGCATGCCTGAATCGAAGCTAGTTTTTCCACAATGTTTTTTATGTATGGGCATAGCTCAGTCGAAACTAGTTTTTTTATAATTTTTTTTGGACATACCTCATCCGAAGCTAGTCTTTCCATAGTGTAATTTATTTTTGGCCATACATCAATCAAAGCTAATTTTTAAGTTGATTTTCTAGTTTTTAGGTGTGACTTGCCCGATAGATCCGTAGTCTTTTCTTTACCTCAGTTTAACCTGGTTTTACCTTCTGTAATGTTACTGGTAATATTGAATTTGATATATCAATGTTACTGTGTATTTCCTTATTACATTACTAGAAAGTTACCAATATTATGTTTTTATTTAGCCAATTCATTGTATAAATAATCGAAATATTTGGAAAAGTTTTGTATTCATTTTATAGCATACTGACATCAGGTTCGTTGATGAAACAGCTATTATTGTGTGGCAAAAAGTGTTTTATTTTTTTAGATGAATAACAGCTTTATGTATTCATATAAACGTGTCTATCAAGATTTTACTGGTTCTCACACATCCTCAACTGTTGTAATTTCTGAATTATTCTGTCTTAAATGTGTGTTATTATAACTATTTCAACATTTTGATCCCCTCTTCATATTGAATATACCTTTGTTTTCCGAGCGTCATTAGTAACCACAACAAATGAATCCCACAAAACGTCTCTTTTTGTGTGAAGAAGTAACAGTCCATTAAAGCGTGAAATGTTTATAATTAGCCTTTTGAGTGTGAAAAAGGCCTCAATATAAAAGGTGAAACATCACACCACTCTACCAACAGGCTAGAGCCAAAGCTCATTGTCATTAATATTTACATCACGAGATGGTGTTGCTAGCTGTTTTTTTTATTTTTCTCGCAGAAATTAATACGCAAGTTTCCTAGAGATCTAAGGTTTATTTTTTTAGTCGCAAATGAGTGGCTTAGAACTGCTATGTTTTTTTTTTTCAAATACAAACTTTTAGCTCATAGACCCGTCATCTCTTGATAGTTTTGAGATCTAATTACAGTTTACGACTCATGAGGTCAAACCCTTTCGATTGATGTATTTGACCACACCCAAGGTCTCATAGATTAATGTATTCTAATCCTGCCTAAAAGAATTTTAATTTGGGGTAGGTTGGTAAAGATCCTGATGAGTAATAAAATCGAATTTGGTATAAGCGCGCCCCACGCTTGATATTGCTAACGCATAAAAATATAGTTAATTAAAAGGCAAACAAAGGTCTCATAGATTTTTTACCCCAGTCCTGCTTAAAAAATATCAAGTACTGCGGCTATTGAGGATTCGTTCTTGTTTTATAATAGTTAAATTCTGAAGGTAAACTAAGTAAAGTAGGCTTGTAAAGAAGATTGGTATTTGTCCTTCTCTTACAACCCCAGATAAAACTTGCTAATACAGGTTATAACGATAATCAGCCATAAAATATAGATTATGACGATAATCAACCATTAAATATAGATTATGACGATAATCAACCATAAAATATAGATTATGACGATAGTCAGCTATAAAATACAGGTTATGATGATAGCCAACCATAAAATACAGGTTATGATGATGTGTCTGCATTTTCATGTGATAAGCCTGGACATGGAATCAGTAATGTGTAAATATTTAATACTTAATAAGTAATTTATATGTATATCTATATTTCATTCGTAAAAATTGACAGTTCGTCTAAAACGTATGTTCATTGGTTTTGATTTCATCAGTAAAAGTTGAATCAACTCATTATATTTATATGAATAAAGCATTTTTAACTGTTGAAGTATCTATTTGGCTTAATTTCACGTAATTCTTGCATTTTGAATAGTTGTTATTTTTTCAACTTGGTCATACTGGTATGAAAGTAAGTACACTTCAGATACAGTTTGGTCTACACAATAACAGCTGTTATTTATGCAAGTCGTGATGTAAATAGCGTTTCGACTACTACTATATCTGTCACATCCCAGCCGACCTGATAGGACAGACACAGTGTTGTTGACGAAGCCATGAACTGGAAACTGCGCCCTTTACTTACAGGTAAGACCATGAACTGGAAACTGCGCCCTTTACTTACAGGTAAGACCATGAACTGGAAACTGCGTTCTGTACTTCCATGTAAGACTATGAACTGGGAACTGCGGCCTGTACTTCCAGGTAAGACCATTGTCAGGTTTTTGTATAGGGGCCGGATTCTTTACAGTAGGTGTCTGGGACTTGTTGACGATAAATTTAAACAATAAACAATCCACTTGTTTTAAAATAATATATTAAAAGATGTCAAACGTATATACAAGTGTTACAATGTTGATTATCTCAGTTGAATCTAGAGCTTTAAAAAATTCATTTTTTCGTCAAACGTCCACAGACTGGTTCAGTTACTTTAGAACCCAATTGACAAGACGAATTATTTCTTCTCTCCTCTGTTATCACAATAGAATCAGTGATAAATTCACTTACGTTGCCACAGTTGTATCCAGAGCTTTAAATAATTCATTTTTTCATCATAGTCCACACAGACGGGTTCGGTTACTTTTGAACCCAGTTGACAAGACGGATTATTCTTCTCTATCTATGTTGTTACAATACAAATTGTGAAACTTTCACTTTAGAAATTGCGCGTTTCGACTAAACTGATAATCACGCAATCTAACTTCACTTTTTATTACTTTAACTTTCTATAATTTACTTTAAATTAATTGAACTTGCTGTATCCGCACGTATTTATAACACGCGACAGTGGCCCGGCATGGCCAGGTGGATAGGGCGCTCGACTCACAATCTGAGGGTCGCGGGTTCGAATCCCCGTCACACCAAACA